AGAAAATAACCAAAACAGAAACAGAGAAGAAAAAGGAGGACAAAGGGGAGGAGGAGAAGAGAAGAAGATGGAGGAGGAGGAGGAGGAGAAGGAGGAGGAGAAGAAGAAGAAGAAGAAGAAGAAGAAGAAGAAGAAGAAGAAGAAGAAGAAGAAGAAGAAGAAGAAGAAGAAGAAGAAGAAGAATCTTGCTGCAGAAGCTATAGTGTTTCCCATTGAGACACAGAGTTTAACATAAAGGTAAACCCATTCATCTTTACTTACATTCCTCTTGGATATCCTATTGTCCTGTGTCATGGAGATCTTGCAGTTTTGGGTCTATAGGTTCATCCCTTTCACATGCTCCAGTAGTTCATAGATATGGTGGATGTTGGAACGGGCCAACTCAATGTTCTGGTTCTGAGCCTGGCTGATAGCTTGATTGGTCAGCTTGCTAGCTTTTCCTGATCATCACTACCTGCATGAGCTCTCCGGTCCTGCTTCAACTAGATCAACCAATGCAGCATACAGCAAGGAGCAGAGGCAGTTCTGCTCTTGGACCATTCAGATCTGGATTTCCCTGACTCATATCATTAGGGCCAGCTCTACTGTTTTGCCCAGGAAAGGTACAGGACCCTGGCTCCTGATTGCTGTAGGGGGCAGAAGAGGTGGGTTAGCCTCTACTGTCATGCCCTGAGGGCTGTTTCAACTGTGAGCCCCACAACAGGGTCAGCTCTAGTGTGCTTCCTAGGTGAAGTGCACATCTATTGTGAGGGGTGGGGTCATCTTTCCTGAGTGTGAGTGCAGGAATGAGTTCTCTCCTGAGGGGTAGGGCCAGCTAGTCTGCTGCAATAGCCATCAAGGGGCGGGATCAGCTATCTCAGGGCCAGTGAAGAGCAGGGCACAACATGATTCCAATGACCCCCATGATAACATGGGGCATAGACATCGCCACAGACCCCAGCTGCAGTAGGATCATGGACCCAGACATGGCCCTTGGGTCATGCCGCCACGGCCTGGTGACATCACAGGTCATTCAATGCCCTGGCGGCAGCATGGCCTCTGTGCACCAACATAGTTTCAGGGGGCTCACCAGACCCCGGGCATCTGTAGAACCCTTGGTGGCCACTGGAGCCATAGACACCACACAAGACTCTGGCCTCTACAGGGCCACAGACCCAGACATGGCTCTAGGCAGCAGCTGTGCTTGTGTCTGGATGTCTATAGCCTTCGGGTGTATTGTTATAATCTTCCTCTCTCTGAGAATATTGTGTTCTTCATGATTCTCTGATTTGGTAGTGAAATGTATAAATGTTCTGTATAACTTACTCCCTAACTCAGTTGGTAGAGGCTGTGACTCTTAATCTCAGGGTCATGAGTTCATGCCTTGCATTTAGTGCCATTTGTAACTGGAGGTTTCTCTCCCACCTACCAGTTCCCAAATATCTACTCAGAGTGAATCATGGCAGATAGTTCTGTTGACTTATTAGTAGTTCTGTTGACTTTATTAGTCTAAGTGGTCTCATGTTTTTGGTGTTCTGTGGGCTCCTCATATGTCCTCATAGACATAAATTACGTCTTTCCATAGTTTGGGGGAAGTTTTGTCCTATGAACTTATTGAAGGTCTTGTATACACCAAGAAAATCTGAATACTTCTTATCTTCCAGGAAACTTTATACATTATTTCCACATTGAATAACAAGCTAAGTATTCTCTAAGATTTGTGATATAGTTACAGTGACTTTTCCTATGGGGTTTTGAATAAATGTCTGTAGGGATATTTCATTTTTATTTTAATAAATAAAGCTTGCCTGAAGATCAGAGAGTAAAACAGCCCCATTGGCAGGCTTATAGACCAGGCAGTGGTGACACACGCCTTTAGTTCCAGTAGCTACACTAGATAGATAGAAACCAGACAGTAGTGGTGCACGCCTTTAATCCCAGCATTGGAGAGGAATATAAGATAGAAAGAGACAGCTCTCAGATAATGTCATTCTGAGGAATCCTGGAGGCAGGATCACCATTTTGGACTGAGGTAGTGGTAAGAGCCAGTGGCTGGCTGTTTTGTTTTTCTGACCTTCAGGATTAACTCCCAAAAGGTCTCTGGGCCTTTATTCATTTACATCTTTTTGGAAATTTCCCCCTTATTTGCCATACATTAGATTACAGCACACTCAGTGTAAATGTTTTTTTTCCTTCTCTTTGTGACTTTGAAGTATAAACTCATCTATCTTCAGTTAATAGTTTAAGTAAAATTTCCTATGATACTAATAAATACTAATAACCAGCAAAAATGAAAAAGTCACATTTTGTGAGCTCCAGGACAGGCTCCAAAGCTACACAGAGAAACCCTGTCTCGAAAAACCAAAAAAGTGTGTGTGGGGGGGAGATATATTAAGAATTCAATACAAAAATAGCAGCAGTTATTAAAATGTGTACTGCCTCTGAAGATTTCTATTACCCTTCAGAATTTTCTATAATTTTCTATAATTTCAACATACATGTATCAGAATTTATAAATTTCTGAGTTGAAATGTTACAGTTGTATGGAAAAATGAAGCATTATAAGAAGGTATCTTAAACTTTGTTTGCCATAAGTAGGCTGGGGCTCAGGAACTTTACATGAGACCTAGTGCTTGATGTGCTTCCATTACATTTTCTCTAGAATATTTTATTCAGCCACAGAAATTGAAAATCAGTGTTTCATTTCCAAATCACTATTTTGGCATGCTGTGGACACTGCCACACAACATTCTGAATTCATTAGGACTTCGTGCTTGCTCTAATGACCTGCTGTCATTGCCCTGAAACCTTTTTTTTCTTGATAAAAAGATTCTGTGTGGATGTGAGACATCAGACCTTGGCTCCTAGAGCACCTGCACACAGCAAAGAAGGACAGGCCCAGGATTGCTTTATCCTCCAAATTAAATGATGCTAAATACCTCTCTTCTCCCTATCCAGAAGCCCCATGAGAAGGGCATCATGCTGACTTTTGGCTGATGAAACAGGTATAAAATGGTGTGACAGTTGGTTGTGGGCTCATCACTCTTGAGTCCAACTGTAGAAGTTAAATGGAAACCTCTAACAGATGGAAGCTATTGTGAGTCTGTCAAGAATGTCTTATGGACATTGGATATGTTAGTGGTTCCCAGACAACAGTACATCTTCCCAGACAACTCTGTCTACATCTGAGACATTGGTCTTTATGACAGGCTCTATGGGAGGGCACCATAATACTACCACCTGATGCCAAAAATAATTCAGCTGAAACAAATCAGAACAGTCATTGCCCCAATCCCATAATGGTAGTTAGTATTACCTCTTCAGAGGAAGGTGGGATAAGAAATGGAGGTAGAAATCAAATATAAAAGTTATGGAAAAAGCAAACAACTCTCATGGCTCCCTATTGGCCCCCTCATTGCTCACAATCTACTTTCCCATTGATGCTCCTAATTGCTAGGCTTGCCCAGAGTCCCTCAAGACAGTAGCAGTTCCCTTACTAGATGAGCAGAAATCAAATTACTAAGCCAGCACAGCCCTTCCCAGCTCTGCCATTACACCCTCGGGAAACACAGGGCTCAGTAAACAGAATAGAATTCTGGGCGGAAGAGGAAGTGAGGTCAGACTCTGCTCTGCTCCCGGAGAGACTCTGCGCTCTGGAGCAGAGACGCCATGCTCAGCCCTCCCAGATAGACGCAATAGCTCTGCTCTCTGGAGCAGAGACACCATGATGGACGGAGGCTAGAATCTTCCCGGTAAGCGCACCTTGGGGTGCTTATACACATTATTAGAAATGGGTTAGAACAATATGTAAGAGCTAGCCAATAAGAATCTGGAACTAGCCGGGCCAAGCAGTTTCTTAAATGAATACAGTTTCTGTGTTGTTATTTCGGGCATAAGCTAGCCAAGCGGCCGGGGTGTTGGGGACGCAGCCCCGCCGTTCCTATTTCAACAGGGCTCTAGTCTGAAAAATTGGTATTTTAGTAGAAACTTTTCCTGTCTCTCAGAGCAGTTCTTGTTCCTCTTCCAAAATATGATGTCCCTTGTGTGTGTGTTCCAGTACCCTTTCCCTCATAGTTCAGATACTCTGAAGCCAAACATAAGCTACACTCAAACAGCAACTCTTGATAAAGCAAGATTTATGATTTTTCTAATTTCTGGAAAGTCTTAGAGGCAAGAAGTGAATTTGTCACACATGAAGCACATTTTAGTATCTACCTCAAATGTTTCAAAGTAGAAACCACAATGAAGTGATCTCTAACATCAGTCTTCAGTGAACATGGTAACTAATTTACTTCCTTCAAGGCTATTACAAAAAATAAATGAAACATGTTTTTTCTTGAAGCTGAAGACAACTGTGATGTCCAATGTCTTTACAAAATCATTTTCAGGAATAGAGTTTTTCTCTCATATGAGTTTATCCCTATTTCTTGACTTCAACATGATTCAAATAGGCTTTAAAATATTTACAGCACTAGAAACACGGCTGGGCAATTAAGAAAAATATTCATTCCTAGGACCAAGGCCTGATTTTTGACAACTTCCTGTAATTCTTGCTACAAGAAGATCCGAGGGTCAAACATTGTCAGACGCAAACATGAAAACTTTACATACTCACACAAACATATAATGACATCACACAATTACAATTAAAACAACTCTTTAAACAAACACTTTTTCACACATGAAAGTTTCTCTCTTCTAAGCATTCATTACTACAACACGAGCATTGAGGCACCTTCAGAATAACTATGCTATAATCAAAGGCTTTATCACACTAAATACATTCATTAGATTTCTCTCCAGTATGGCTTCTCTCATGCAATCGGAGACTACTGTGACATGCAAAGGCTTTTCCATACTGATTACATGATGTGGGAGTGTCATATATCAATCTGTTGATTTCATTGGTTAAGCAATAAAGGAACTCCTTGGCCCTGATAGATTAAAAGATAGATGGGAGGAGGAAACAGAATAGAATTCTGGGCAGAAGAGGAAGTGAGGTCAGACTGCTCTGCTTCCGGAGAGACTCTGCTCTCTGGAGCAGAGACACCACGCTCCACTCTCCCAGGATGGATGGAGGCTAGAATCTTCCGGGTAAGCGCACCTTGGGGTGCTTACATGCATTATTAGAAATGGGCTAGTCCAGGTGCAAGAATTAGCCTGTAAGGGCTAGAGTTCATGGGCCAAGCAGTTCTTAAATGAATACAGTTTGTGTGTTGTTATTTCGGGCATAAGCTAGCCAAGCGGCCGGGGTGTTGGGGACGCAGCCCCGCCGCCACTCATATTTCAACAATTACATTCATAGGGCTTCTCTCCAGTATGGCTTCTTTCATGTATTTGGAGACTACTGTGACATGCAAAGGCTTTTCCACACTGATTACATTTATAGGGCTTCTCTCCAGTATGGCTTCTTTCATGTATTTGGAGACTACTGTGACATGCATAGGCTTTTCCACAATGATTACATTCATAGGGCTTCTCTCCAGTATGGCTTCTTTCATGTCTTCGGAGACTACTCTGACATGCAAAGGCTTTTCCACACTGATTACATTCATAAGGCTTCTCTCCAGTATGGCTTCTTTCATGTATTTGGAGACTACTGTGACATGCATAGGCTTTTCCACAATGATTACATTCATAGGGCTTCTCTCCAGTATGGCTTCTTTCATGTCTTCGGAGTCTACTCTGACATGCAAAGGCTTTTCCACACTGATTACATTCATAAGGCTTCTCTCCAGTATGGCTTCTTTCATGTATTTGGAGACTACTGTGACATGCATAGGCTTTTCCACAATGATTACATTCATAGGGCTTCTCTCCAGTATGGCTTCTTTCATGTCTTCGGAGTTTACTGTGATGTGCAAAGGCTTTTCCACACTGATTACATTCATAAGGCTTCTCTCCAGTATGGCTTCTTTCATGTATTTGGAGACTACTGTGACGTGAAAAGGCTTTTCCACACTGATTACATTCATAGGGCTTCTCTCTAGTATGGCTTCTTTCATGTCTTCGGAGACTACTCTGACATGCAAAGGCTTTTCCACACTGATTACATTCATAGGGCTTCTCTCCAGTATGGCTTCTTTCATGTACTTGTAGATGACTATTCCATGCAAAGGCTTTTCCACACTGATTACATTTATAGGGTTTCTCTCCAGTATGTATTCTTATATGTACTTTTTGAAGACTGTGATGTGCAAAGACTTTACAACACTGATTACATTCACAGGCCTTCTCTCCAGTATGTGTTCTTTTATGTATCTGAAGAGGACTGTGATGTAAAAAGGCTTTACCACATTCATTATATTCATAGGGTTTCAATCTAGTATGTGTTCTTGCAAGCCTGTGTAGATGACTGTCACATATGAAGGCTTTAACACATTGACTATATACAGAAGTTTTTTCTCTAGTTTGACTTTTTTCATGCCTGTAATGATAGTGGTACATGTGAAAGAATTAGCACATCCATTGTTGAATATTTTTATCTGTATGAATTAATTTTACAATTTGGTCCAATTATAAAGAGAAATTATATCTTAAGGTTTTATCACCATGTTTACAATCTTGTTGTTCCCCTTCATTAAGGCTTGTTTTGCATCTTTGAAGACAATAGATAACAGCCTTTATTACATGGTTCACATTTACATAATCTTTTTTCTATATGAGAATTTTTACATATTTGAAGAGAACTGAAAAATCTCAGAGCTTCACCACCCTTGTTGCATTCATAAAGTTTCCTATATTGTGAGTGATACTACATTTGGTAAGTGAACTATGACAAACAGAAATACTTACACAGTCCTAGTACTCATGATGCTTTTCTGAAATGTGAGCTTCCTGATATATTAACAATGAGGCTAGAAAACCAATTACTTATATACTTGTCTAACAAATTCAACAGGTATATTCAACATGGGGACTGCTACATATCTTCTAACTGTTCTGAGAAAAAGGTATGTTATATATTTTCACATCCCTATGCTCATATGGCTTGTATCCAAAGTAACATATGATATACCTAGTAAAAGAAAAATAACAAATATAAGGTTTCCACATTGAGTTCACACAGTTTGACTTTATGTTCATAGACTTGTGGTATCTGGATTAAGGCCCCTCCGTAACAGCTGCCCCTTGACTGTTGACTTTAACTGCCCCCTCACTAAACTTTGCACAGTCACAAGTATATTAGTATAATAGAGTTTTAGAGAGATACTTATCACCTTTTATATATATTATAATATGAACAGTATGAAATAAATGAATTGATAATTCTAAAATATAGCTCTCATCATATTATGATTCAAATTTTAATATAGGTTAAGACATTGTTTCCTTGTCTTCCTTCTTAAAAGAATGGCTTGCAAATGCAGTTCACTTATCTGAAATTAAGGTATATGATTTTGTGAGAATTTAAAAATCATCAATGCACTTTAGTATTTACACTGTTGCTTTTGTTTAAAGCTTATAGGATGCATTACAAATTCTTCAGAGATACAATTCTATCAGCTTACACATGAAAATTACCTTTCATGTCTTCTAGAACTTTGACAATGTTCTTCAATATTATGGTCTTCCCAACTGTATCCTAAAATATAATGCCAGAAAATGTATGTTATATATTGAAAGGTGTAAAAAAATTAGTTACCATTTGCAGTGAACCTTACAACCATGCCTGATTTATTCATCTCATTCTTCTTCTTGCTCAATCATATTACAAAAGAGCACCAGTTACCAATGAACAATTGTCCCCTTATTTTAAAACATGAAAGAGAATTCAGTCTTACCTATACTAGTAAGGTTTCTGTAGGTTTCCAACATCACATCTTTGTAGAGACTCCTCTGGGAAGGATCCAGCAAAGTCCATTCTTCCCATGTGAAGTCGATATGTACATCATCATAGCTCACTGCATTCTAAAATATTCCATACATTTGTACAACAGAAAGCATGACTTTGACAACACTGCAAATGTATACTTCTTTGACAGTATAGTCATATAACTTTAGTGCTCCCCATACTTATTCTATGAAATCGATATAATTTAATTACCAAGTCACTTTAGAAACAAACTGAATGGAAGATTCACCTCTGTAATTTATGAACCCTTCGAAATGCCTATTAACAAACAATAAAAGATAAGTAAACAGATCAACAGTACAGAGTACACATGAGAGAAATTGTATGGATGATTAATTTCTAACTACAAAAAAAGAAAAATAGGCAAGCTGGGTGTATTGAATCATGCCTTTAATCCTTGCACTCAGAAGGCAGAGGCATATATCTATCTGTCTCTGAGTTGAATGGCCTAGTCCATGCAATCACTTCTAGGACAGCCATAAATATATATTAAGGATCTGTTTCCATTTAAAAGTCAGTCAAACAAACATAAAAGATAGAAAGAACTCAGAGGATTTTGCTGTAGTTCCTGAAAAGAGTTATCTATTTACTCCAGCTCTTTATTCATCTATGAGAAACCTGAAGTGTCTCAATTTAAACTGCAACATAAATAAGATTTTACTAAAAGGCACTGGATGTTTAAAAAGTTATAAATGGACAAATGAAAACATCAGATATATATGTTGATAACAAATAACACTGAGCAGGAAAGATGTTTCAACAGTAAAGAGTACTCCTGGTCTGACTCAAGGAATTACATGGGGGATCACAACTATTCATTATTCCAAGTTCAGGGTTCCTAGTTCCATCTTTTAATCAATATAAGGATCAGGCACTCACATGGTACATATCCATGTACAAGTAAATACTCATATTAAAATAAAAATTCAAACAAAACAAAACAGGAAGGAAGGTGATGCACCTGCAATCCAATGACTCAGAAAGCACAACCAGTATCAATGTCATGAATACATGCCATCCTGGGAAACATAATGATACCCTCTGTCAAATTTTAAAATTCAAGATATGGGTGAAGCTCAGTACAACAGCATATGCTTGATAGGAACAAAACCATCATACAACAATATAAAAACAAAAAATCATGGCCCACTTTTAATCCCAGTACTTGGAAATCGGGGTCAGGGGATCTCTGAGTTTGAAGCCAGCCTGGTATACAGAGCAACTTTCAGGACATCTAGGGCTACACAGACAAATCTTGTATTCAGAAATAAACAAACAAAAATGAAAACTGTAAGCTACCAAACTGTCTTAGCATCAAATAAAGCACTTAATTTTGCTGAATCTTATGTGACTTAGTGATAGAGTTTATGATGGTAGGGAAGTCATAACAGCAAAAGAAGAAAGCTGACCGATTAGTTTCAACCACAACATAGCAGGCACAAAGAACAGGGAATAGGTTTGATGTGGGAGTGGCATATATAAATCTGTTGATTTCATTGGTTAAGTAATAAACACACTGCTTGGCCTCATAGGTTAAAGTATTTGTGGGAGGAGTAAACAGAATAGAATTCTGGGCAGAAGAGGAAGTGAGGTCAGACTCTGCTCTGCTAGTGGAGAGACCCAACAGCTCTGCTCTCTGGAGCAGAGACACCAGGATGGATGGAGGCTAGACTCTTCCCGGTAAGCGCACCTTGGGGTGCTTACACACATCATTAGAAATGGGCTAGTCCAGGTGCGAGAATTAGCCTGTAAGGGTTAGAGTTCATGGGCCAAGAAGTTCTTAAATGAATACAGTTTGTGTGTTGTTATTTCGGGCATGAGCTAGCCAAGCGGCCGGGGTGTTGGGGACGCAGCCCCGCCGCCCCTATTTCAACATAGGTTGAGGCTATAGAAACTCATATCACATGTCCAATGAGGAATTTCATCCAGAAAGGCTCCTCCTCCTACTGGATTCACAAGCAATCAAATGAAAGTTGCCAAGAAGAGGGACATGTTCAAATACATCTTCCTATATGGGAGGTTTTCATTCAATCAATTACATCCTAACCTGGGTCACTATAGGTTCATGGTAACCAATGAAGAAAAATGCGTTTAGTGTTACGGTTAAGAATCACTTTGCTTACTCCTTCCATAAGTTGAATGCTTATGTGAATGGAGTCTTACCCTTGGAGTACCTTGCTGGGCTTCCAATCTATAGCAAGGGCCTTCTCTATAATGGTGATAAAATCCTTGAAAATCCCTGCCTGTTCCAGTAATTGGCTGCCATAAAAAACTGTCTTTTCATTTTCATTTATTTCTGCCCCACTTAGTGTTTTTTTTCACTGTAGTCTTGAATGAATCTTCAGTAATAACCATCCACTACATTCAATATTCCATTTAAGAAATTAGCTCATATTTTTAAATTCTGCTTTACTAAATTTCCAGGTCAGAGGCAGAAAAAGAAATATTTTGGAGCCAAAATATCACACAAATAACCTCTAGCTTAATCAATTTCAACTGAAATTCTTTGATTTCAATCTCCGCTTTCCGTCATTTCTCTTAACATTTCCATCTTTCTGATCCTACAAGAACAGCTAATTAATTCTGTGTACTACTTTCTATTTTTTTTTTTTGCCACCTAAAGTTTGGATATCTTCTATACTCTTCCAAGAGACATCATTCCCAAGTTCTGTCTAGCAACAATTTTACTTTTAGTTTTCCATTTTTTGTTCTAACTTGCATTTATGTTGCTCCAATTAAATCTTTTAATGAAAAGCAGCTCAGACAATGAGTGGGGGTAATTTGGCTTCATCATTTTGGGAGCTTAGGATAGAAAAGCAAGCTAATAATTGAAGGCAAAAATACATGGACAAGGACTGTTTCATGGCTTTCTCTCTTGCCTAGTCAGATTGGTGCCTTTTGTATCCCAAGCCTACTTTCTTAGAGATATTGCCACCCACAGTGGAGGAGCCATCACACATCAATCATCAATCAACACAATCTCTCTCAGATATAGCAGTTTATGGCTTTTATGAACAAAGCCACTATGAACACAGTTGAGCAAATGTCCTTGTGGTAGTATCTTTTGGGTATATGTTCAAGAGTGGTATACATTGGTCTTGAGGTAGATTGACTCCCAATTTCCTGAGGACTGCATATTAATTTCTACATTGGCTGTACAAGTTTGCACTTGCAACAGCAATGAATCCCCTTGCTATATGTCCTTGCCAGCATTAGCTGTCACTTGTGTTATGGATCTTAACAGTTCTAAGCCTTGTAAGATGAAATCTCAAAGTAGTTTTGATATTCATTTCCCTAATGGCTAAGGATGTTGAACATGTCTTCAGGTGTTTCTCAGTCACTTTGGATTCCTTTACTGAGAATTCTGTTTAGAGGTGTTCCCCATTATAATTGGATTATTTGGTTTGTTGTTGTCTAGTTTCTTCTGTTCTTTAATATCAAAGGTGAGGAAACATAGAATCACATAGACAAACATGGTATGTATTTACTTATAGGTGGATATTACCAGTTAAGTAAAGTATAATCACAGTAATCACAGTTAATCACAGTACAATCCATAGACACAGAGAGGCTAAGTAACAAGAACAGCTCTACAGGAGATGAATGCATCTTGTTGGTAAAACAGATTTTATGGGTGCACTGGAGGCAGGTGGGGATGGGAACAGGAAAAATCAGGTGAGTGAAGAAAAGACAGATGGGGAGAAGACAGGGAGAGATAACTGGAATAGGGGAGCTTTTAACAGGGGATGTGGAAACAGTGTAGCAAAAACTTTCTGGAACCTATAAAGGTAACCCTAGTGAGGACTCCTAGTACTCAAGAGGAGGCTGAACTAGCCATCTTCTGTAACCACATAAGGTTCCCAGTGGAACTGTGACACCAAGCCAGCCACCAAACATTCAACCCACACTTGTACTATCTACAAGATATGCTGGGACACTGGTAGCTTAGAGCTTTCTTAGTGGCCAATAAATGACTGATCTAACTTGAAACTCATACTGTGAGAGGAAGTCCATAACTGACACTGCCTAGATGGCCAGGAACCAGAACTTGAATGGCTCAGAACAGGGGGACAACCAAATACAGTTGACCAAGAAAAAATATCAATGAAATGATTCATAACTATTTTCTGCTATTATCATAGATTGCTGTTTAGCCTACTTGTTATTAAAGAGGCTTCTTCCAGGAGCTGATGCAAGCCCATGCAGAGATCCCTACAAACAAAAAGTAGGAAGCAGTATGGAGAGAACTACTACCAAATTCCCAAATATTGCTTATAAACATTTGTTTACATTTAAAGGAGCCATGATACAGAAATAATACATTGTATTTGTATAGATTTTGACCTAATGATAAAAATTTAAGGTCAATTGTGTGTGTGTGCGTGTGTGTGTGTGTGTGTTCTTGTTTAAGGTATTATATTTGTGCAGCTCATTTAAAGATGCAATATATAGTTAAGAAATACAAATTAGACCCCCCCAAGCCTGCCCTGTTGTCTGCAAGGTCCTTAGATCAGGAACAGTTTCCTGCTCCTGCACCAAGGCTACCCACCCAGCAGAGTGAGTGACTGCCTACCAGGCAGGCCTGAAGGTCCCCAGCAAGGAAGCATGGGCACCTTCAGCTTGTGCTGCAGGGTCTCCTGTGTTTGACTCGATCCCGCCTTGTTCCCCACCTAACCCTTTTGTCCGCAGGTCCTTGGGCTACCAGGCATCCCTGTTTCAGTGCTGAGGAGTTCCATCTGGATGGTGCTGAGGAGTTCCATACAGACAGGAACAGTTCCTGCTTCTACACTGAGGAGATCCACCCAGAGAATCAGTCACATCAAAGACTAGACCAAGCCACCAGGCCTCTCCTGGCTCCATTTGAAGGAAGAGATGGGCAAGTGCCAATGAAAGAATTCCTGAAACAACCTGAAAGGCAACACGACATCACCAGAATCCAGGGATCCCAAAACAAGAAGAATTGAACACCCTACTCCCGAAGAAATAGAAGAAATCTACTTTAAATGGAACTATATGAAAATAATAGAGGACCTTAAACAGGAGGTGAAAAACTGCA